ATACTCCTATTCAGGTGACAGAATTCAAGAATAGGAGGATATAGTGAACCTCTAGGGACTTCATTTGATAGCTCCCGACTTCTTAAATCTCAGAAGTCCCGATAATATTAACCTTAGCTTACAACTTTAAGGTCTACAGCTAAAGTTGTAACAAGATGAGAAGAGCAGTGTTTCAAAACATCTAGAAATAGCTGAAGAAAGCCTGAAATAGTTCATATTACAGTAATAATAAGCAACAACAAAGCCAGTAAAAGCTCAGTGAACATGCTTCGAAGTCCATGATTTTTTTTTACATCAAAGAATGCAGGCATTTGGTATTTCAAAAAATCTAATAAAATGCTGGTGTTGCAGCCAGCTTTTCAGAGTTAAAAGTAATAAATGTAATATTCCAGAGAATTCACAGAGAATTCTAACTATTCCACATTAGAACTACATGAACACGGTCTAGTCAGCATTTTGTGCACGTGTCTCAGGTTTTACATCTAATAACACATGCAAGGGAAAAAAAGGTCTTGGAGGGCTCTATTATATAATAATAAATATACTATTTGAATGGTACCCTTAATCTCTATACTGATGGTTGTAGCAAAGTATTAAAATCACAAGTGTTTTATAATTTTGTACTAATCGTCCACCACTCCTGCTACCCTCACTTCCCACCCCCACCCCCCTTTACCATGAGACCCTTCCCCCCTTTCCAGTTGTGAAGAAGCAGAATCCATTCCATTCTATGACTGTCAGTTAATAACAACCTAGGGGACACTGGCAACTAACATATAATAGAACTAGTTAAAAAGTAAATAATCCTTATTGAATTGCACAGCAGTTTAACATGATAACTCAATTTCCTTCACTGAGAAGTCTTCTGGAAATCAGTTCTTCCTGCACCTTTTATGTTTAAATATAACACTAGACTCTACTTTGTTCCGTGTAGGAAAGCCATCCCTTTATCATTTAATAAAATGGAGCAGAGCACTATGCTTATTTTACTTAGTTCTAGCAATTTTAAGGTGCTTTCTTAAAGCAAGGCTTTAGGAATACTCTCCAAATTACTTTTGTTACTTTGTTGTGTAAGATGGTGGAAAGTATAAAATAAGAAAGTTTTGCTGATACTTTGTTCTTACTTCTACTTTAATATGTTGTGTGACAGTGCCTTCTTGCTGGCAGCCATTTGTCATGTACTGTTTGAAGGCCAGGTTTAAAAATATTCCTGCCAAGAAGGTATAGAATGAAGAGACCACTAATTGTAAACTAATGAATTAGTTTGTTTAAAAAAATACTGAAAAGGCACACAGGGAATGATGGCCTTTTCCCATTTCAATATATGTTCCTTAGGAGGTATCTTTCAGGTATGTCTCTAAAAGAATGTATCAAGGGCTTCCCTGGTGGCGCAGTGGTTGAGAGTCCGCCTGCCGATGTAGGGGACACGGGTTCGTGCCCCGGTCCGGGAAGATCCCACATGCCGCAGAGTGGCTAGGCTCGTGAGCCATGGCCGCTGAGCCTGCGCGTCCGGAGCCTGTGCTCCGCAACGGGAGAGGCCACAGCAGTGAGAGGCCTGCATACAGCACACACACACACAAAAAAGAATGTATCAAAATAAACAACTTGGGTTGTAAAGGTGTAAGGTATATTGAATCCTTTGTAGTGAGTGTTTAATTTTTTTATCAGTCCTAGTGTAATTTTCATAATAGACTGTATATAATGTGTGTATCATTTTATAGATACTTATATTAGGAATGGCTGTTCTAATTTGCTGAGCTGGGTGCATGAACTATGTATGTAGATGACCAAATGAATGTTAACGTCCTCTTTCTGTTCTAGAATTTACATAGTACATGATGAAGTTAAGGATAAAGCTTTTGAACTAGAGCTCAGCTGGGTTGGTGAAAGTAAGTTATTTTTCTACATTTATTTGCTCTCAGAGTCATCTGTACCAAACCTAACGTACTACTGGGTGCCTTATTTTTTCTTAAAAACAACAAAAAATTAGTAATGGTGTATACACATATAAGAGTACACAAATAACAAATGAATTGATAACTGTCACAACATGTGGATACATTCATGTAAATACTGCTTTGGTCAACAAGTAGACCAGCCCCCCAGATCACCCCTTAGGCTTCTCCCCAGAGGTAACCACTATCCTGAATCCTAACACCATAGTTCTTGGCCTGTTGTTGAATTTTATATAAATGGAATTAGACATTATGGATTCTTTTGTTCCTCATTTCTTTTCACAAAATTATATTTGTGTAAATCAGTTTTGTTACGTACAGTAGTATTTTTGTTCATTTGGCTTGCTGTACAGTGTTCTGTTGTCTGAAAATAACACTTTATTCATCTCCTCTTCTGTTGTTACACCGTTAGGCACTTTCCAGTGTTTGTTTACTGTAAAATGAACAATGCAGCTGTGGACATCTTGTACATCTATTGTGGTACACATATGTAGTAGCATTTTAGAAATATATGTTAAGAGTGGAATTGCTGGGTCATGAAATAGGCACACATTCAACTGCAATATTGGCCACAATGTGTTCTGACCACTGGGTGCCCTTCTAATACAAACAGAGCCAGAACAAATTTAGGAGGTACTCTCTTTTCGAAGGAAAAGCTCTGCTTAATAATTGACTAAAGTTGTGAGTAGTTTATTTACTTTTTTTGAAACATCCATTGCATTTTTTTTTTTTTTTTTTTTGCGGTACCTGGGCCTCTCACTGTTGTGGCCTCTCCCGTTGTGGGGCACAGGCTCCGGACGCGCAGGCTCAGCAGCCATGGCTCATGGGCCCAGCCGCTCCGCGGCATGCGGGATCCTCCCGGACCCGGGCACGAACCCGTGTCCCCTGCATCGGCAGGTGGACTCTCAACCACTGCGCCACCAGGGAAGCCCCATTGCATGTTTTAAAAAAGAATTACTGGGAAATCACCATTTTTCTTTCTAGCATGGCAACTGTAGGGCTTCAAGGACAGCTTTTAAAATCTAACCGTGCTGTGAATGAATGCTCAGGACTTAACAGCATCAGGATAAATCTTAGCATAATGTATTCTTTATTATAAGAGCTAAATTTGGGCAGATCTAATATGTTATGTAGGGAAAACACACAAAGATGAGTTCAGAGAATCTGGTATTACACTTGTAGATTGGCTAGATTATATGGTATTTGCAAATCACAATTACAGTCCTCGTTTTTAATTCATTTAAATATATGGCTTAATTTACAGTAACTAACGGAAGACATGAAATTGTTCCAAAAGATATAAGGGAAGAGGCAGAGAAATATGCCAAGGTAAGCCACAGCATGAAAACGATTCTAGCTGAAGATATGGAGATACATTGAATTTTATTAAATAACCCTTAAGAGTTGAGCTGAACTGAAGGATGAAAACTTTCTAGGTTATCCTCAATGGGGATAAAGTTGCCCTGGTTCCAAAAAAAGTTTTTTTGTGCTTGTGAAAATGGCAAAGTTTTTCCAGGACGTTTAATGCTTTCATACTGTGTGTATCCTATCAAGAATATAGTCATTGATTGTTACAGCAAGATGTACTTTAGTTACCCGTTTCTTTACTTGAATGTCTTATTCTAAACCAGTGTTCATTTTCACTTACAAAGAATTTTAATGACAAGATTCAGGCTATTATAGCAATGCTAAAAATTGATTTTCAACACTTTTCTCTTTAACAGGAATCTTTGAAGGAAGAAGATGAATCAGATGATGATAACATGTAACATTTACTCCATTTACTTCTATTTAACTGTTTAGCCCTTTGGATTAATACATACCCACTGACAAACTTTCATTAAATCTTTGTCTTGTAACGACTGAAGTTTGGTTAATATCTGCTTGACAAAATTGGTGGGGGTAGCTGAGCACATATTTATTCAGCATTAGGATGCTGCTTTATGCCTGTTGTAAAATTCCTTAGTTAAAATACTGCAGACAGATGCTTTGGAATCAGATTAATTCAAAACTCCATTTCTTCACTCATCTATAACCTAAAGATCATATCCTGCTGGGCTGTTGTGTAAAAAGTACCTACCAACTTTGTAGGCAATTGATGCCACTGCCCAATTTTGTATTTAGTGAGATGATTGTCGGTCATCAGACACTGTTAACCTTTAGAATTTAATTTTTTTTACTTTGAGGAGTGGATTTAAGGATTCAGAAAGCCCCTATCCTGTCACTTAAAGAATTTCTTGATCTGTAAAGTTGAAATAAAAATACCCACATTTTATGCTTAAAAATAAATTAGAATACATGTGGAAACAGAACTGATACTGAGTGGAAAAATGAGTATTGGAAGAAACAGTCTGAACTCAGGCCAAGCGTGCCAGGCATACACACACCCTTTATTGGCTTCATGCCAGTATCACTCCATTCAACTGTCATGCTTTCCTGAGGTCACTGAGTTTAGCAGCAGGGTGTTGCCGGACTTTGAGCATCTGTATAGTTTAAACAGCAAATCGTTATACCAGAATACTTAACTACTATACAAACAACTCAAGAGCAGTATCTCATTACCATGGCTGCTTTTATGTAAAATTACCTGCTACATCCTACAGCTCATATATTTAACTCAGAATGACACCAGTGGCCTTGGGCAGACGCCTAAACAACTTAAGCTAGATGGATAATAAGTTGACTATCCCTAAGCCAGTCTGACCATTCTATACTTTTCCAACTTCCAAAGTATGAATGGCACATGAATCTTCTATTTTCATTGTACTGTGAGTACCTCTGTTCTTAATGGAACAGCTAATAATCCTCTTTAAAAGAACAGACAATGGTTCTAAAGAAACTTAAATCTGAGCAGCTAAGCCACCTCAAAAACATATATCAGATAAATCTAAAACTAAGCTTCTCAGCTATTAGAAAAGAAAAGCAATTGATTTTCATAAAACTATACAAAGGATTAATAAATAATCTAGGTTCAGCTGTAGGGGCACTTCGTAACTGCACCACTGAGGCATGATTAGCCTCTGGGGGGAAAAAATGGCTGGCACATTTTACTTTGACAAGATAACAAATTTATTTTCAGCAAAGACTGAATACCTTATTACTGTAAACCTCGATACTGGTACCTAGGAAAGAAAATTACAAACGTTTTAAAGAATAAAGTTTTGGTTTAGAGATTACAAATAATATTGGGTTGGCCAAAAAAGTTCATTCGGGTTCTTCCATAACATCTCTTCTATTCCACATTATTGTACAGTATCCAATTTTCATTGCCCATCACAATTTGTTTTTAAAAACGTAATGTTTTCATTACGTAAGTAGAGAATCGCAGTGCAGAAATATGGTCAAGGTTTCTTTCGCTTAACGTGGAACCCAAACATCAAAGCGATTAACATAACCAAGCTGGTGCAAATGATTTTCAACACCTGATGTGGAGATTTTGAGTATGTTGGCTTACCTCCTGCGTGGTATAACGTTGATTGTTCTGAAATTTACGTCTCGATCTGATTGCTATCAACTTGAACTGGTCTCCCCGACCATGGAGCATCGTCCAGTCAGAAATCTCTGCCACAAAACTTTGCAAACCACTTTTGACACGTTCAGTCACGGCACCTTTTCCATACACTGCACGAATGTTTTGCCTTTTCAGTTGTGTTTTAACCTTTCTTGAATAAAGCATAATATGCTGCTGTTTTTTCCTTCCATCTTCAATATTAAAATGGCTACACAAAAATTCACCAATTTTGATGCTTTTTTAAAAAAGTACGCTGATATAACAGCTATCACGATACAATCTAACAAAATTGTTTCGAATGAAGTTAAAGACAACTAAGTGCTACTAAAGCCATCTTATGGAAGAAACCGAATACATTCAGATAAAAAAGCACTTGTCTGATAAGACTATCCCTTTGCTTTCATTTCTGTCATTCTCAAAGGAACCTGAAAAATAAATGAGAAAAATAAAGTTGTAGGTCCTCAATATGTTTAACTGATTGAAACATTAAAATACTCTTCAAATTAAGATTTGAAAAGCAAATTAAGATTACAAATTAATATCTCATTAAAAAAATTATCAAAATGCTACTAAGAAATCAGAAGAAATCCACAAATGAAAAAAATGAAGTCTTAATGTAAAACAATTCTAATGCTGTTCCTCACCTTGGAAATGAAACCCAGGCGGAACCTTTTACTTTCCTGCGCTCTACCACATCCATATTGTATTTACTGTGCCTAGGCTATCTCTTAACTGGTCTTTCTGAAGGACTCCCACCACCTACAAAAGCAAGCCTTCCGAAGTGATTGACAGATTTCTCCCTCTCAAAGCCCTTTACACGTTTCCCTCTTAATAGTTTTCAAACTATTTTTTTTAAAAGGAACTCCGAAATATGAAATAAGAGTGCAGCCTACTCTTAACCCCAACCAAGTAGAAGCTTTTGTTCCACCATTGACCATGTGTATATATCTATTACAGTGTTTACTATAGTAAAATTTACTATAATTATATAAATGTATTCCTCCTCCCCCACCCTTCCTTGGGAGTTGTTCAAGAAATCATCTTTGTATCTCTACTGGTGAGGACACAGTATGCAATCAAATGCTAAAGGTATGTATTTTTAAAACTAAAATAACTCATACTAGTTAACTACAGGGCGAGATATTCAATATATTTAAAAACACTGGTTCACTACTGTATTGATCAGAGGCTTCTAAATTAAGACAAACGTGGTTTAAAACGATTTGAACAGATCTGGAAAACCTAAGCTCAGGAAACATAAACTTTGGGGGAATCAATTCTTTTATACCATCATGATAATGGGATTTTTCTTGTTAAAAAAAGCTGGGGCTTCTTCTCTGTCACCATTGTAACCACAATTTCAGAATAAGAAAACCAGCATCATAATTAAAACCAGGATAGTGGTTTATAAGCTAACGTAGGTTTCATACTGGCTTTGTCACTTAATAATTGTGTCACCTTGGGCAAGTTACTTATTCCCTCGTCTATAAAATGAGGATTATGTACCACTTTTAAAATGACATCAAAAACAGGAATACTTAGATATAAATTTAAATTTGTACAAGATTTTGTGTTGAAAATTATAAAATGTTGGTGAGAAAGTGAAGTATATAAACAAACTGATCAGAAGACTCAGTACTGTCAGTTCTCCTTAAACTGATTTATAGATTCAATGTAAAACCCAATCAAATTTGCAAGAGGGTTTTTTTTGGGGGGGGAGGGGTGTGTTTGTGGAAAGAAATCAACAAGCTATTTCTAAAATTTATTTGGGAAAAGAAATTAGAATAGCCAAAACAATTTCAAAAGAGAAAAAGTTACAAGGCCTATGGCATCTGATTTCAAGACTTACTATAAAATTAATGTAATATTATTAATGGAAAAGAATAGAGTCTAGAAATAGAAATATATGGTTAATTGACAAAGGTGCAAAGGCAAATCAATGCACAAAGATAGTGTTTTTCCACAAATGGTGCTTGAATAACTGGACACCAAACACCAAACCATACCTTGTACCATATACAAAAATGAACTCAAAGTGATAAGTCAAAATGTACCTCAGGGCTTCCCTGGTGGCACAGTGGTTGAGAGTCTGCCTGCCGATGCAGGGGACATGGGTTCGTGCCCTGGTCCAGAAAGATCCCACATGCCATGGAGCAGCTGGGCCCATGAGCCATGGCCACTGAGCCTGCACGCCCGGAGCCTGTGCTCCGCAACGGGAGAGGCCACAGCAGTGAGATGCCCGCGTACCGCCAAAAAAAAAACAAAAAAATGTACCTCAAAGTCTAAAACTTCTGGATGAAAACAGAAAACCTTTGTGACCCTGGTTTAAAAAAGAGCATTTTTTCATAAATGAAAAAAACTGACAGTGAATTTCACCAAAATTAAAAGCTTCTGCTCTCCTTTAAGAGAATGAAAAAAAACTCTAGACAAAATATTTGCAAATCACATATTTGACAAAGGATATTTGTCCAGACTGTATAAAGAACTCTCAAAATTCAACAACCCAATATTTAAAAATGGGCAAAAGACTCAGATAATTCATATTACAAATAAAACTAATGTTCCTTCTTTAACCATCCTAACCCTGCAAGAGGTAATCACCATATTATGTATATCCTTCCAGCCAATAAATATTAATTCTTTCGAAGAGTAAATGCTAGTGTAATTATAAAGATGTTGAAGAGCAAGGGTACTCACACACCTTGAGTCTGTGTTTGAAGTGTATGATTTGGAATTTGATCTTGATTTTTACTATGTGGAACCATGAAGTGGAATTTTAGGAAAAAGTCATTTACGTAAGTTGAACTATATGATCCATATGGGATTTATTAAAACTTTTTAATTTTTTTAGGAAAAGCCAATAGGCTTCAAGACTGATATAATATGGTAGAATCTGACATATAAAGATGATAACCTACCTTTAGTAGACCAATTGGTTTAAGAGTCAGCAGCAACCAAGTGATAGTAAAGATTCAATGCAAAAATTTAGATGTCTACAATGGATCATACTGCCAGGAAAGATTAAAAAAAAAAGTTAAATAATATGCAATTCTTTCCCCAGTGGGAAAAACAGACACATTTAAAAATCACTAGGAAAGTATATTAGAAATACATGGGGACTTCCCTGGTGGCACAGTGGTTAAGAATCTGCCTTTCAATGCAGGGGACGTGGGTTTGATCCCTGGTCAGGGAACTAGATCCCACAGGCATGCTGCAACTAAGAGTTCACATGCCACAACTAAGGGGCCTGCTGGCCGCAACTAAGACCTGGCACAACCGAAATAATAAAATTTAAAAAAATACTATATTTCATATCCATTAAAAAAAAAGAAATACATGTTCATGTATTATTAAGTATACATAGCCTGTATGTATATACTGGCCACAAATGTGTACTCTGAGAAGGGGGGAGCAGGGGAGGAGATAAATCCTGACAAGGAATTTTGGACAGTTCCCTGGATATCTGGTGCATTAGCTCTCCAATTCAGTGAACTGGATGAAAAACTAAGGATGACAATAATTAATAGGAAAAAGTCTGAGATGTCAATAATTGAAACAAAGTAAAAAAACTAATCCATATAAGAATATGAAGAACAGAATTTAGATGGGCGTGCACGTAAGTTGATAACTGTTTCTCCATCTTGTTCAGAGACCACCCGCATAAGAATTCTCCATGGATTTGAATTCACCAGATCTGAAGTGAGGCCCAGGAATCTGTATTTTGAACAAACAACTGATGTAATGCTTATGAATACACTAAAATTTGAGAATCACTGATTTGGACACAGCTTATTAAAATGAGAATACAGCAACAGAATGGTTATTAAAGGGTTTCAAGAAAAGAGATTTCTGATATATAGCAAAACGGAGGATGAAGCTGTAGGGCATCATGGGTACTTGGGAAAACTTTTTCCATTGGACTTTTAAAGAAATACATGTCTCAGAAATAGGAGCACATAACTAGATGATAAAAAGAGAAGTATCTGATAGAAACTTTATAATAGATGGTTTCTAATACCTTATGATTCAGCATCAGTTCTCTCACCATTTCCAACATGAGAGTGGACAAAGAGCCAGGGAGCTGATAAAGAAGAAAATGCATATGAATTCAGAGATTAAAAAGCATCTTTTATATTTTACTGACAGGTCAAGAGGGAGAAAAATAGCTCCGACTTAAGACAGGCCAGGTCAATATGGCCAAAGAAAATTTTGTATTAAGGGCTCAGTTCTGCCACTGCAAAAGAACCTTAACACAAGATTCCCTTACCAGCAATATCAAGGGATTCAGGTTTACACTGAAAGTATCTTCTACTGACACGTTCTACTAACACCTAATTTGAAGTTCATTTCATAGGATAAAAATAAGGGACAGATAATTCATTTACTAACAAAAGAGTAACATCATTTTACTGCAAACTTTCCCCCAAAGATATTCAATATTCACAAGGCAGCCCATTTCTATTCTAATCACCATTTGACCTTTCACCTGTCCCTACTGAAAATGGAGTAAATGTGGCTGAATGCAGTTCTTACGTATTTCTAGAGGAAAGGTCTACTAGAAGTGAACACAGATAACAACACTTCCTTCAGAGGCAATACAATGATTCATTCACAAACTGAAACACGTTTGACAGGGAAAGTCTAAAAGGCAAGCCACCAATGTTGGCAAGTCATACATTAGTAATTATTTCTGACAACTATGTTTTTCCTTCCTTGTCGGCAACCCTGGCTTTCATGATATGAAGCCAAATGAAACTTTCTGACAGATGACTTCATGTGAAGACATGACGTGCCACCCCCATCCCTCAATCTAGATATTTGGACAGCTTCCAAAAAGAATTTCAGAAGAGATGCTTTAAGCATGAAACTCAAGCTTGTCTACTCTAAATCCATTCTTTTCCCTACATGGAAATCTGACAAAACAGGAAGTACTTGGCAGGATGGAGAAGCAAGTCTTGCGGCTTAAGTATTTACTGGTAACAGACTAAGTTCTTCGTGACTGTGTAATAAAATGCAGAACTACAAATTTGAGAAGAAAACAGCAAAAACTTGCCTTGGTTACCAAGCTTCCCTTGGCAATTTAAAGGCCTTAAAAAGACAGTATATCACATGATACACAGAGGAATAAGAAACAGGAAGATGGCTTTTTTTTTTGTTATGGTACTTCATGTGAGAATCCCTCTCCCTACCCTGTCAGACCAAGATCTAAGCCACCAAAATTATACAAACACTGAAAGGAGTTTTGTGACTGTATATAAAAACTAAGAAACACAAAGATTCAAAACAAAACAAAACAAAGATTTCTGGTTTCGTTTGAGAGAACCTACTTGGGGAAAATCTTTGGTCTACGCTTGCCGAAGGATTTGAGTATAAATACAGTATCCTAACTACAAATAAATACAAATATAAATATACACCCTTAAATGGGCTGTTAGGATTAGCAGAGTCAATAACACACTAGCAAACATACTAAGGAAAAAAGAATCCCTCCCCCATGACTCCTTCCAGCTGCCACCCCCAGCCCCAATTGAACTGTTGTTGAAACAACTAGAAGCATTTTCAGGTAACAGTTTGTATCTTCGCTTTTAAGCTATCACACTTAAGGGTACAGCAGTATATCAAAGTGCCCAGTGAATGTTAAAAACTACCAAACAAATGTAAAGCACTGTTATCTAGTCCATTTTCCTACCCCTCAAAAGCAGGTTCAGACCCACAGTAAGTCATAAAATCAGATTTTTTTAAAAAGTGAACTATAGGACAAAATACTGGAGGGCACTGTACTTTCATCTGTGGTGTGTTTGAGCAATACACACATACACAGAATAGAAACTTCACTATAAAGAAATTAATCCACGACCTTCCTTAGCTATTATTTCAAATATCTGTTTTACTAGAACACTTGTTATATGAAACAGTGAGGTAGGTAAGGACATTAAAGCTTCTGTCAATTTGATAACAGCAGCAACTTCCTTAAGTGCTAAAATTATCAAGTCAGTGTCTGATACTTCTGATTTTCAGAAGTATCATTTAACCTTTCAGGGATACATAAATATTAGAAATATGCTTAGGAATTCTTATTAGAAAAATATGGTGCTGGATTAGAACCGTTAAGTATTAAGAGCTGTAAATACCTAGCCCCATGTCCCTTATACTTTAAAAGCAAACACTCATGTAGAGTAATGTATCCCAACCAATGAGAACAGGCTTATGATCAGAACACAGAACACCTGGTCTTCAAATCCAGTGTTTCTACAGTAGGATACTTACTCAAATCAACATCCCATTGAACTATTGTAAAAATTCTGAGAATTTTCGAGCTAAGAGTACATAATGCTGCTTTAACTCTAAAAATGCCTACTATGAGCCTGATTTTTAACTTATCTCCCCATTTCCCAACATTTCCATTTCTTCTAAATCTAGAGGCACAGACCCCGTCAATCTTACAGTAACTAAAGATCAAGTAAGTGTCCTCATGAAATGTCTCACCCAGTTCCTATTTTCAGCCTACTCCTATTTTCATGCCTAGAGGCATTACGGTATTGTGAAAAGAAAAATGTACGTACAGAGTGAGATTATGGGTTCAATAACCATGGATTCAATAACCAATCGAGGCACGTGGTTTGTAGATTCTGTTATTGGCAGATGTACCCTTAGTACTGGCCCAACTTTTCACAAATTTGGACCACTGAGGATGAGAAGATTGGTGGGCGGGCACCACCCCAGCTGTCAGAAGAAAAATCCCTCTGGTGGTTAATTAGACATACTAGCCTTTATAAAACAATAGGAAATCATTCTAATGAAAATTCCTGACCTGTGGATAGTCCCCAGAGTGATCTACCCCCACTACACATTCTGGAATCTGACCCAGTTCCTAAACCTCAAGCGATCTCATTTTAAGCAACTCATCAGGCAAGATGTTCCTCTTGTACAAAAACTGACAAAGCACATTTTCACTGGCATGCATTTGTCCATTAAATGTCACCTTTTAGCTTGCTATACCTTTTATAAACTGTCACTCCACAAACGAGTGCGTACTAAGTGCCAAGGCCTGTGATAGGTTCTAAACCTACAAAAGTGAATAAGGTGCAGTTCTCTGTCTGTAAGATGTCATAACTTAGTGAAGGACATATTAGTGGACAAAAAGCTAAAATGCAATACAGAAAGTGGTAGAAATCACATAAAAGGAAATATATGAAATTCATATGGACAGATTACCTATAGTTGCAGAGGTATCAAGGAAAGCATCACTTAAAAAGCAGCTTTTGAATATGTGGCAATAGGGCAACGATCCAGATGGTGGGAAAAATATGAATAAAAACAAAGAACTGGGAAAATACAGAGCTTGTGCGGTGGAGCCATGATAGTTTTAGTGTGACTGCAGCAAATAATACCTGAAGAGAAGAAGTATGAAATAAGTTTGGAGAGAGGTCAATATGACCTTCAGGAAGGGAGAGGCAAAGAGTCTAGGTGCTTTATTTCTGTATATAAATATAACATTTCTTTAAAACTCTTGAATGACAGACATTATGAAACAGCACGATGCATACTAACACCACCACATAATATCTAGAATCATTCTAAGCACTTTACATATATTAATTCATTTAATACTAATCCTAACCAGGTCAGTTCTATTACTATCCCTATTTTACAGATGAGGCAGAGATTAAATCAGCCCTAAACCACCCATCCCCACAAAAAGCCTGGCCACACCCACACATTCTAAAGCTGAAGTATCTTCTTTGCTATCCCTGAATAATTCCCTGGATATTCACTAAACTGTAGTCATCATTTCACGATGTTAAGTCAAATCACTACGCTGTACACAAACTTATACACTACTATATGTTAATACCTCAATAAAACTGGAAGAAAAAAAGAATGAAAAACTAACCTTTCTTTAACTTAGTTCAGGAATCATCTGGTTTTCCTGCGTTTATTTTACTTAATAATCCACTTTAACTTTTCAAGTTAAAACCAGAAATAAGAAAGCCCTAATAAAAGCCCCAAAAAGTCTAATGGAAGAATGGAATTAAAAGTCAGAATACAGGGAATTCCCTGGCAGTCCAGTGGTTAGTACTCCACGCTTTCACTGCCAAGGGCCTGGGTTCGATCCCTGGTCGGGGAACTAAGATCCCACGTGCCATGCCGCGCAGCCACGAAAGTTGGAATACAGAAAACAGTATACAGTCCAGCATATGCCTTAACCCAATTAGGGACCTTATAGGCATTTTCACAAAAGAACAGATGCTTACCGGACATTTCAAGCTCTAACTAGCATGTTTAAAACTGATTTCACTTTCCTTACCAACCAGTAGCCTTTCCTGACTTTCCAAATTGATTAATGGCACAATCTATTTCCCATTTCTTAAAATCTTGGGTTTTCTTTCTTCTTTACCTCTATAATCAATTAGAAATCAAATGCTATCAACTCTTTTTTTCTCACAGTCTCTTGCTCACCTATCCTTCCTTACCCTCCCTCCAGGCCCTACTCACTCTAGTTTCACCTCATGCTGACACCACTGCAAGAGTATCTTAATTGTCTCCCCACCTCCAATTCCTGTGTCACTTCTTCAGTCATATTGGACACTATTTCCAAGTAATCGTTCAGGAATACATTTTGTCTATTCAAAAACCCTCAACACAAATAACGAAAATCAAAAGGGAAGTCTTTATGGAAAAATATCTGTAGCAAATTACTACTAAATATTATATAATCTCAAAAAATTAAGGAATATCAAAACTGTAATATATAAATGGACAAAAGTCTTGAATAGACAACTTGTCTACTACTAAGAATCAGTAACTGAAATTATGGAAAGAGGTCCCACTTCACAAGTTAACAAAAATATTACAGAGAAAAAGAGAGCTCAACATATTTTGTACCTAGTAACTTAGCAAAAGTTATAATTACAGGCTACGCAATGTTGGTAACTAAACTCACAGGGAAGGTAGTGTAAATTATAACTCTTTTGGAAAACAACATGGCAACATTTCAGAATCATAAAAATGTTCATACAATGACCTTTTAAATCAATCCTAAAAGAACAGTGCAAAAAAACAGAAAATACTGTATGTACATAGATGATAATTACAGCACAATATTTAAGAACTAGAAAGAAACCTAAATGGTCCAGCAATAGGAAAATAAAGTCAGAGATAACAGAGTTTGATGGAATATTTTCAGACATTAAAATTACTGTGGAGGACTTCCCTGGTGGCACAGTGGTTAAGAATCCGCCTGCCGATGCAGGGGACATGGGTTCAAGCTCTGGGCTGGGAAGATCCCACATGCCGTGGAGCAACTAAGCCCGTGCGCCACAACTGCGGAGCCTGCGCTCTAGAGCCCGCGAGCCACAACTACTGAAGCCCACGTGTCTAGAGCCCATGCTCCGCAACAAGAAAAGCCACTGCAATGAGAAGCCCGTGCACCACAACACAGAGCAGCCCCCGCTCGCTGCAACTAGAGAGCCCGCGTACAGCAATGAAGACCGAATGCAGCCAAAAATAAATAAATTTAAAAAAAAATTACTGTGGAGACCATGCAGTCACATTGAATGCCTATTACAACGTTAAATAACAAAGAAAAATAAAAAGTTCTCTGAGTCTAAAGAAAGAATATGCATACAGACAAGGAAAAAGAAAATTTTAAAAATCCAATGGTAGGGTGGGATTAGAAGTAAGTTTTTGTTTGTTTGTTTAATTCCATTTTGATCTGTAAAATTTGAAAACAAAACAAAAAATAACCTTCATTTTCTGCTCATATCCCAGCTTTCAAGGCCCTCTGGAAGTTCCCAAACCTATAAAAGACAAGCACTCTACATAATTCTGATGTGCAGCTAATTCTAGAAACCTTGACAAGCTGGCTTCACACAACTTTCCCAATGTAATCTTTAATCAGTCATCCTCTCCAAACTGGTTTACTTACTGTCCCAAACATAGCTTTTCTTATATATTGGGTTGGCCAAGAAGTTCCTTCAGTTTTAAGTATCTATAAAAGACACATTTTTCATTTTCACCAAGAATTTTATTGAATAATGTATTCACTAACCGAACAAACTTTTTGGCCAACCCAAATAACTGCATCCTTGCTCACAAGCTACATCCACTTAGAATGACTTCCTTTCTTCTAATTTTACATATTACATATCATTAACCTTGAAAAGTCTTCAATGATGGCTAAATAAATTTCTGTTCTGTATTATAAAACAATTTGTTTTTTAAAACAATTAGATCCAATTGTACACTGAACTTTGACAAATCTATTTTTCTCGTGCGCCATGATTTAAATCTTTAAAAAGTTAAACCAATCTAAATTGATGGAATCTTTTGAAATAACTATATTAACACCCACATGTTTAATTATGGTTTTCTTTTTTTTGACAGTAAGCTTCTGAGGACAGATCCTAGTAGGAATGCCACTAGGTAATCTACCAAATCCTAAAATAATGCTCTTGTTTGCATTATATATGAAGGAAAACCAGTTATCTATGACTCCATGTGGCCATAAAATAAGCAGTGACACCTACTAGGGCAAAAGACCATACAGAGATTACAAAGGTTGCTTTGGTTGCAAATAAGCAAATTTAGTAACTTTCCAAAAAATAACAAAACCATTAGGAAAGCAGCTACATTCAACACAACAATCTGTTCTGCTTTTCAACATACACAGACAGTTACAGAAATAACTGTACAGTGGAACAAATTCTATCATTTTTAAAAAGAGATATACATGTAAAGGCAACATGGCCAATCTCGATTACTAAAGAATAGTTAAGTAAAACTGCATACCAGAAATACAATTTCAACAGAGAGCAGATCCAAGTCATTTAAAAACACGAACACTTTCCTTCATTATTCCACAAAGCGAGGCTTCCTCTAGAAGACAAAGACTTTTTAAAGTTTTGAGTATGTTATATAGCCCACACACTCAGAACAGACTGTTTTGCTTCACTTCTAAACACTTTTCCTGATGAGATCTTTATATGTCAAGTATTTTACCATGGGTTAAAGAAAAAAAAAATCATGAAAATGTTCAGTGTTCTGTGATTAAAAATCCAGAAATGGGAACCATATGAATAGGTAAAAAAAAATTCATAGGGATGTTCTAATTTTGAGATTTCAGTCTAAGATACCATGACAGGAAGCTAATTTCATGCCCTCATTTGAATTCTTGACCAAATAAATAAAACATTCTGCTTTCAAAATAGCTTTTTTTCATAAAAACGTTATTAAAAATTTGACCATTGTGATTTTGTAGAAACATTATTCTACTAGTTTTGGCTTGTTAAAATAGGTTACAAAAATTAATTTTATCAAAATTAATTTTCATTCATTTATTCCTAAGAGATGATTTGAGTGTTCAATTAATATTCATCTATAGTTGCCTTCCGCTAAGGTATAAAAAAATCTTAAAAAAAAAAAAAAAAAGAATTGAGGAAAAAAGTCAAGAATAACTATTCTCAATGAGTTCTCTAAACCTACATTATTATTAGCAATTAGAAATCAAGTCAGTTCTGGGACTTCCCTGGTGGCGCAGTTGTTGAAGAGTCTGCCTGCCGAGGCAGGGGACACAGGTTCAATCCCTGGTCTGGGGGGATCCCACATGCTGTGGAGCAACTGAGCCCGTGTTCCACAACTACTGAGCCTGTGCTCTGGAGCCCTCGTGCTACCACTACTGAAGCCCTTGAGCCTAGAGCTCACGCTCCGCAACAAGAGAAGCCACCGCAATGAGAAGCCCGCGCACTGCAATGAAGAGTGGCCCCTGCTCGCCGCAACTAGAGAAAGCCTGCGTGCAGCAACGAGGACCCAATGCAGCCAAAAAAAAAAGTTAAGACAGCACTTGTGGAATATCATGAATTTTCAGAAGAGAACTGCTGTTAAAGAAAACATAAGTTAGCTTACTTCACATATTTTGTATATTAAAGTACATAACGATTCATAAGAAACAGTGACAGAGCACATACCACGCATCTGGTAAGGAAACATAAGAGTGATTAAAACAGCAATTGCTACCCTCTGGGAGTAAAGTCTCAAACTGGGGAAGAGCCAAACAAATGCAGAGTAAATGTGATGAGAGAGACATGTAAAGGGTCCTATGACAGTACAAAAGCACCTTGAGAACTCACAGAAAGATGGAAAACTTTAAGCCAGGCTACAAGGAAACAATAGTTAAACTCAACTAACTCTACCATAAAAAACAATTTGTTTTTAGTATCCTCTAAGTGTCACTTCTGCGTAGCAAAATGTTTCACTGTACAAACGCCTAACTATTCTAGAGCAAAAAATAAATTAATTTTAAGAAATCACTCTTAAGGTCCAAAAAATTCTCAAGTTTATTTTACTGTATGTGTGACTTGAAAGACTGATAATTTTACCTGAATAAACAGAGACCCAGGAGAAAAAGCTCAAAAATAAAGCTAAATTAACTTTTTAAAATGGGGATTGGGGGGGAGGAGAGTAATAAAAGGAAGAAGGATAACAAAAAAAGTAAGAGCAAAAGCTTTCTGATGAAGCATGGTATAATCTCTTTGGCCTTGTATTTCCACTTATAGAAATTTATTCTAGAGAAATAATCAGGCATGTGAGGGAATATCAAGATGCCTAGAAATTTTAGGCATAGATGTCAGTTCTCAGAGAAAATCTTTTGTAAAACATGCACAAGGATATTCAGACATATTACTGCCATTATAAAAATTAAGAGATCTGGTACATAAAATACAGTACATCTATCCTACAGGACACTATGCAGCCATGAAAAACATGCAGCATGTTCCCAATATTTTCCAAAAAGGAAAAAAACCTGAGTGACAAAATGAGCATGACTAGAATGATCTCTATTTTGTAAAACAAAACCAGCAAAAGAGAAACCCCTCTGAATAACATATAGGTACAGTACAAACTGCAATCACCTTTTGGTGGTGGTGATACAAGAGATTTTGTTTTCTTCTTTTGGCTTTTTGGTAATTTCCAAATGCCCACTGACATACATTATTTGGATCAGATAATAACCGTTTTAAGTCGGGTAGTGGAATTATAGGTGATTACCCACCCGCTCCGACCCAGGAAGTTAAGTATTTACATGTCCTATAATTTCCTTAAGAAAAAAAATTGCTTAACTTCTAAACTCTTACTGAAATATCTTTTCTACATGCCAAATTTCTAAATATTGAATAAAAAATCATGAAAATGTCCACATTATTCCTTGATAAAAGTATTAAGTACTTAAAAATCTAGAAATGGGACTAGCATGAATGGGTAAACAAATTCGTAAGTATGTCCTAATTTTGAGACTTCATTCTAAAGTATCATATCAGGAAGCTAATCACAGACTCATTTGAACCCTTGACCAAACAAAGACTTTTCAACTACCATTCTTCCATCTTGCTATTTATGGCTCTACTTACTGGTCTCCCTAATTCTAAGGATTTTTACAGATATTAGAACTCACCTCAGTAATACTTCCGGATGTTTGTCACTTACCTGTCCTTTTCTTCAGACCAACTGACAAAAAAACCCCAACAAATCATTAAATCACTCGATCATTTTCTTGTCTGGAGCCCCACCAATACAGCAATAGGGTTCAAAACAGAAGTATTATGAGGATAATTTTAAGCAGCTATTCAGATCAGTGTGACTAGGTCACTCAGCAGAAATACTAACATGCATTTCATTTTCTTAACAATTCTGAAAAAATCACTGTTACGAATGAAAAATCGATGCAGCCTTAGTTAACATGTCCTCTTAACGAGTAAGTTTAGTCAACGTGGATTACCGTCGATATTTTACATTTTTAAAATTATTTCATTCTTTAAAACAACTTGCCAATCAATACTCGATTTCCACCATTTCAAATGTGGTTTTGTTTTCTTTAACAGAACACAAGATCGTGCTAATGGAACTAGATCAATGGCTACCCTGAACAAAATCCTATCGGGGAGGTCCTTGTATTTTTATCTAAGGTGTTTTCCGTCCCTGCAAAACCACTGCTCGCTCCTTTCAAAAAGCAGCCTAAGCCTCGTGCAGCGTGGCACAGCTACTTGTCTAAGGCCAGAGCGGCAGCGTCTGTGCTAGCTAGGGAATTCCTCAGCACCCCAAGCCCAGCGTTTCCTTCATTTTCCTCACTTCTTAAACGCGTGACCAGCACGCGGAAACCCCTCCCCACGCAGGACCGGTTTGCCTCAGAACCCTGCCCTCCCTGTCTTAATTAAGGAGGAGCACACAGCCGGTGGCCTTGGTCGCAGAACGTGACAAGCTGCCGAAATCCACTTCTAAAGGGAGGAAGCACTTCTCTGAGAGGAGCGGCATCCCGAACATCTCTCACACTCCCGAGAAGAGTCCAAAGGATCAGCCCGGAGAAAAGAGACGTGCACGTCCCCTCCGCCTCTTTCTCTAGGGTCGCGAGAGAAGAAGCCTCGCCCCCTCTCAGCCCGCCCCCAGCTCCCCACCCAGCCGCAGGGAGAACTTACTCTGCTATGGCTGCCGAGCGGCCCCCTCACTTCCGGTGCCGGTGCCGCTAGAGCTGCGCCATCCCCCAGTCCACCGGACAACTACCGCTTCCAACTGACCTTTCTGACAGATCGCTACTCTTCCGATCTTCACTAGGTGCTGTCCTGGAGGGAACGGTGGATGGTTGCCGCAGTTAAATGAATCCACGGGATAAAGATTCCGCTCTCGTCTCGCCAGAAACATAAAATACGGTAGACCTGCAGCCACCGCTGCCCAGACAAAATGGCGCCGAGAAACTGGTTCAGCGCAGGCGCTTTGGAAAGACCCTGCCCCGCCCCCGTGCAAGTCCTGGCCACAGCTCCGGGTTCGGTTTCCATGGGACACCCCACCGCCAATCCTCGCGCCGAACTGCTCTTCCTGACCCCTCAATTGACCAATCAGTGCTCAGTTAAGTACATCCGGAGTCGTCTTTACCAATCATTTTTCAGGACTTGCTTACTCAATACCTGATTCTCCAGTAACGTTAGTCTTCGGAGGCAGCCAATCATAAGTGGCAGATGTCCTACCTGCTGTTTTTCGCACCAATCCGTGAAGTTTCAGAGCTACATCCAATGAGGACGGCAGGTAGCGAGCTCCAATCCGAAACTCTTCGGCGTCATGAGCAGCCAATAGGAGTTCGTGTAGAAGCGAGTCTGCTCAACAGCTTGTTATTTGGTGGATTGTGGCAGTAAATCGGGCGAGTGGGGAACCGGGCGTAGGAACTGCCGCCGCGGCCGGGAGTGGTGCTGCCCGGACTGGGGCCCACGGGGGTCAGTGGGGCGGAGGACTCGGGGGCTGACAACGCGTACTTCACCTGCAGTTGGTAGGTGGGGAGAAGAGAAGCGGGGGATACTGAATGGAAGAAGCGGCACTAGCAGCTGGTGCTGCTGCCTGGGGTCCCAGTGCAGTTGGAAGCTTTGGAGGTGGGGAGGGGGATGCTTGGCAAGCGGGGCGGCGAGCGCAGGGGAAGGGGCAAGTCGTGGAGCAGCGGCAGCAACTGCGGGAACAGCCGCCGCAGCTGCCTCCTCGGCCGCTTCCCCGGGTTCCCCGGGAAAATGGCTGTGGGCTGGCCGCGCCGCTAAGTTTGCTTCCGCGAGGCGAGGAGCGGGCTGCTTGGGGCAGCCGGCCCCCAACTCCCCAGCGCGTCCTCCCCCGTGGAGTCCGTGGTTGGACCCGAGGGACTGGGGGCTGGTACTGCTCTGGGCTGTACAAAAAGTTGAGGCGGGCGCGGGGAGGAGGCGGCGGCTGCCGCTGTGCGGCTCCCCTCCCCTCCCACACCCTGTCCGGGCCACCTCCCCTCCTTCTCTCCGCCCCCCCAGCCTTCTTCCCCTCGCGGGTCTTCCCTCCCTCGCGCGCCTCGGGGCTGAAGGCCACGGCCCCTGCCCCTTCGGGTGAAGAAGTGCTTCTCCTTTCTGATATGGTGCAGAGGAGAGGAAGGAGAGCAATGGCGCCGTGACACTCCGCTGCCGCCACCGCGGGCCCGGGGCGGGCGGAGGGGGCCGATCGGCGGAGGCGGGGCGCGGGCCGAAGTCGGGGTATCCGGGGGGCGGCTGAGCTCGGCGACCGCGCCTGTGGGGGGCCCGGGGAAGCCCAAACGGCGCCCTGCCCTTCTCCAGAGCGACCCGTCCTGGGGCTCTGAGTTGAGCATTCCGGGTCAAAGTGGCGAGCGAGGCGGAGGCGCGGTGGGCCGCTGGCGAACTCCGCGGCGGAACCCACTGCCCTTTGGCGCCCGTGGGGTTCTTGCCACCCCCTCGGCTCCTGCGTCCTGGCTGCCCTCGGAGGGGATCTTATCCCTTCCCTGGTGAGGGTTCTGCCCCTCCCCGCTGGCGTTTGTTTACTTTCTTTCCCCGGGTCGCTCCCCTCGTTGACTGATTCTGTGCCTGTCTTTCCCCTCCCCTTGGTTCCAGCGACGGAGAAGATTTGCTCGTTGAGCTGGAACCCCACAGATCACCAGTGAAAATGAAGGTAAGTAGAGTCGACGCTGCTCGGAACCTCGTGCCCTGGACACTGACTGTCGTGAGGCCAGTGCTATGGAATGTCATTTTTTTTGCTACTCGAAATTGATTCGTCTGCTGAGCAGCGCTTTCTGAAAATGAGGACGTGTTGAATGGGTGAGAGATGATCATTGTGTCTAAATGCGGTCAGTTGGGCCCCTCTCCGAAGCAGTTAGCACTTTGGAAAGGCTGCTGCAGCCTTTCCATTGTTGTCCATTGGGCTAGTATTTTTAAACACTTCCTGTGTTGGCAGCGACCTTTGCAGAAGTAAAGCTTTTGTCCTGCTTTGGTTCTTTGGGGGATTTTTTGATTTTTTTTTTTTTTTCCTTCCCCAGTGCCAATGCGATTTTCTAAGGAAGGAATGTGTGGATTGTGTAAGGGAGATACCATTTCTTCTGGGGATAAAGTGAAATTTTGTGGGTAAAATATTTGAAGGTGAACTAAAATTAAGTATTGTTATATATTATTATTATAACTAATAATACTTAATTTTAGTTCAGTAAATATTTTAAATGTATATCCAACCTAAAAAAAATTATCCTGAAGACAACTAATATTGCAAACATCGTATGTGATGTTTAAAGGGAAGGGGAGGTATAACATCCTGCAGTTCCGTGGCATTGAATGTTTCAGGTCAGATATTTATTTGCAAAAAGTATTTCTTTTCAATTTGCGTTATTCGTAAATGCACTAACTTTAAACTTGATTCCTTACTCATGTACTGTTTCAGTGTATTAAGCTCTGAAATACAGGATTTTCCCAAACTTCCTCTTGCTTTCCTATCTCCTTGAAGTGACAGTGTACCTTCTTTAATGTTAGTTGGGAAAACTTAATGAAAAATCATTTTCTACTTGAAAGTATTTCTCTAAAGTGTACACTGTCACCTTTGCACTTAGCATTGTTGAGTTGAGCTTGTACGAATACACTTAACTTTTGGAAAATATTCTTAAAATGACAGATTGAGATAGCAGTCATTCTGTTACTGTCAAGATTAAAATGAATGGTGGAGTGAAATTTCTCATATCTTTCCATGTATCATGCTGATCACGGCCATTTGCTAAAAGTAGATATTACTTTGTGAAACTTTTTTTTTAAATATACCAAGAAGATTACTGTTGATAAACTAGGTACAGCTACCCTCAGTTCACATCTCTGCATTCATCAGTTAATTTAGATTTAAAGCTTTAAAATGCAGCTTTTAGCCAATGATTTTTCTAAATAATGCTCTTCTTATCAAAAGGGTTGGCTTCATTTATTATCTGTACAGTTATTATGTATCCAAAAACAGTTGACTTTATGTAGCTATATTAATAAACATTTGGGCTTCCCTGGTGGCGCAGTGGTTGAGAGTCCGCCTGCCAATGCAGGGGACACGGGTTCCTGCCCCGGTCCAGGAGAAGATCCCACATGCCGTGGAGCGGCTGGGCCCGTGAGCCATGGCCGCTGGGCCTGCGTGTCCAGAGCCTGTGCTCCGCAACGGGAGAGGCCAGAACAGTGAGAGGCCTGCGTACCGCAAACAAAACAAAACAAAACAAAACACATTTAATTATCTATTTGTTAGTGTTAATTTTAATAGCAATATTTCTTTTAATTTGAAAACAAAATTTCAGGAGGCCATAACTGACTAACTTAAAGTTTTATGAGACACTTAAAATAAATATACCTTTTCTGGATTTTTAAATTTTTTCATTTCTTAAATATATTATAAAATTGTTGAATCATTTTGTATCTGAATGAAAAAACATATTTCCTACTGATACTTTCTAGTTACAATTTAAATTGTTTTATGTTTTCACGATATAGATTATAAAGTAAAGGATTGCTAATAAAGTGTTTGCTTTAAGGATATTTTTCAAATTATCAATGATATTAATAAGCAAATAATGTTAATATTCTTATTACTTGAAATACAGAACCTTTTGATGAGACTTGGGGTTGGAGTAGGGGAAAATAGTAGTGACATTCATATTGTATGTTCCTTTCATCAGGCGGCGGATGAGCCTGCCTACCTGACAGTGGGAACTGATGTCAGTGCCAAGTACCGAGGTGCCTTCTGTGAGGCAAAAATTAAGACTGTGAAAAGGCTGGTAAAAGTTAAGGTAATTTTTTTTTTAATGGAACAGCTTTATTAACTCGATTGAAGAGAATTAGGGATGGAATTCGGAGACTACAAATCAACATTTTATTTACTGAACTATTACTTCACTTCGTGAATCATTACTATGTGAAAGCACTGTTATATACAAAACTATAGGAAAAGCACATTAAGAATTGGGAAATAAAGAACTCAAGATGAGAAATTATTCCAAGTGCTTCCATGAAATACCACACTCATGATACTTCCCATCATTTGGATCTTTCCTCTTTGTGGTAGCATGCTTACTTAGGCTATAATCTATTTTCTCTCCTTTCATATTATTCAGGTAGCGATAATTTCAAGTGATTAGAAAAAACAATGGATTACTAAAAACAAAACAGTGGGAATTATCATTTCAAGACAGCGATAAAAATGACTTAAGAATTTTATCTTAAGATAATTTTAAGATGCTTTTGTGACCGGAAAAAAAGTTATTGATTGCTGTACAATATTTGGAAGTACAGAAAAGTACTGAAGGATTAAAAGCCATAGTTGACCTCAGAAATCCTACTATTATTTTGTGTTTACTCCTAGTAATTTTTCTATATAAATGCTTTTAATAATCTTAGTTACTTAGACTACAAAGGTAATCCATGCTTATTATAAACTTTTTAACATTGTGGAACTGTATAATAAAGTTCATGGAGGTCCTCTGTGATATTACTCCAAAGAACCTTTATGTGTCCTACCAAATTTTGTGCTGTGCCTTTCAGTAACAGTGTTGATGTTATTATTATCATTGGATCATTCTGTACTTTCAGTTTTGCAATTTGTTTTTCACTTACATATGTGATCCTTTCCTACAAAAATTAAGCACCCTGGAAGGAGGAAATGTTTGCCCTGTTCTGTTCGCAATACCTAGAGCAGTGCCTTATAAACGGGGCGCTCAGAATGTGTTGAATGAATAAGTGAACAGTGGACCCAGGACCAGCAGCATCAGTCTCACCTGAGAACTGGTTTAAAATGCAAATTCTCAGGCTCCCACCCCAGACAAACTGAGTCAGAAACGCTGAGGATGGGGTCCTATGATTGTGTTATAACAAGCCCTTCAAGTGTTTCTGATGCATGTTGAAGTTTGAGAACCATTAAACTAGAGGAGTGTGATTTGTGTGGTAGACAAATAGATTTATCTATGATTATTATAAACTTTCTGTTTAAATTTCCATCTGCTGGTGAAACTTTTCTTCGAGTATTCTTAGGATATCATTTGACATTCATTTCTTCCTTGTTTCATATAGCCTTTTTACTATGTCAGCTATACAGGATTTCCTTACTAAATATTTACTTGGAATTCTTTGAGAATTTTAACTTTTTGTTAGTATTGTGGCTCTTTGTAGATTAATTTATTTAATTTAAAATCAATACAGTGATTGTCTGGGGAGGTCTTATACATAAATTACCTAGAATTTGAAGTTTCCCCTTATTTGGGTAGATGCTTCCTTTCCGTCTCCCTCTCCCATTCTCCCTCTCTCTTAATAGAGCAGGTTACCTTATATATGTGGGAGGATCTGTAGTAGAAGGGAGCACTTATTTGTGACTGAATTGCATATCAGATTATTATTTAGGTTTACTTTATAAAGGACCAGAAGACTTCTGGTTTTAATTTGTTTACCTTGCATGTAGGCAATAAAGTTTGATGCTGTTTTTTTTTTAAATATACTTGGCGACAGAACCTTTATGACTAGTTGATAAAAAGCAATGAAGGCAATTTTAAGGTTTTACAATAATCACTACAGATTATAAACCTTCTATAGTCAATTCAGCAAACATTTATTAAGTGCCTGTAATATGTATTGACACTTGCTAACTGCTGGAGATATGGTGAGAAGGAGGACTCGAGCCCTCAAGGAGCTCACAGTTAATGAGAGAGACAATAAACGTAAATACAATGGAATAAGTATTATACCAGAGGTAACCACAGGATGCTAAGAAAGTATAAAGACATTCTTGTTACAGTATTACCATAAATGTACTGTTTTAAAAGTAACATGCAAACTATTGTGCAAAAATGTTTTTTAGGTACTCCTGAAACAGGATAATACTACACAATTGGTGCAAGATGACCAAGTAAAGGGTCCTTTAAGAGTACGTATTTTGTACAGTTTACAATCTGAAATGATGAATCATAAATTCATACAGTGATTTATTGGATTTTATATTTGTAGATACACTTTTAAAATGTTAAAAAATGTTAATCAGAAAACAAAGTTACAAATAAGGTGTTGTAGAGTTAGTATAAATTGCAATATTACAATGGCTGTATCCTTAAAGAATGTTAAACATCTTACAGAAGGATAATTTAATATATGTGAACATGAGTTTCAGCTACCTTTTGTTTTGAATTCTTGGACTGAATACTACATTTTGTTTTTCATATTGTTGCCACAGGTGTTTAGCTTGATAAGTGTAATATACCAGTATCATAAGTCTGAATCTTCTGTTTTTCTAACTTACCAAGTAAACTATGTTGACTTAATAGTTCAATTTAATGAATACCTACATTATGTTTTCCATCCATTTCTGGCCATTTGTTTATGTTATAAATCTTCATTATGTCAGAGTACCACTTCGGTTAATATCTGATATACAAAGGTCTGGAAGCTGAAAGAAGGTCAACTGGTCCATCCCTCTCTCTCCAGGTGAACCTTTATCTAAAAGGTCCCTTAAATACAAATGCTGAATCCAATATTCAATATTTACATGAAAGAAAATTGAAGCTGTTTTTGCTGTCCTATGGTGTTTTGGTTCTTACATTCCACAATTTTCTTGAAGGCAGTATCATGTAGTAAAAAAAGCTCTGAAATGAGACTTAAAAGACTGGGTTCTCATCCTGGACTCTTTGCAAATTATTCTCTCTTCCTAAACCACAATTTCCAACACGTAAAATAGGGGTAATAATAGCTATCTTACTTAAGCCTAAGCATTTTGAGACTTGAATTGCATGGTAAATGTATGAACACTATAAATGATAAAGATCTAAGCCAATGTAAGGTATAATTACCATAAATAGATATATTTTTTTAACCCAGGTCATATAGTTGGTACAAGTGATTTGGTTTGTTTGTTTAAATTTGGTGATGAAATTTCGATTTTTTGTTTTAGGTTGGAGCCATTGTTGAAACAAGGACATCTGATGGATCCTTTCAGGAAGCTGTTATCAGCAAGTTGACAGATGCTAGTTGGTATACTGTGGGTAGGTAGTTAGGTAATTTAATATAGAGGATTTAATTTGCGGGTTTCATATCTATCTCTCTGTTTTGTAAATTCATTGAATCATTACCTTGGCAGAGAAATATGTATTCTTTCCTGTCAATTTACTTGATATAGACAGCTGAAATTTTAATGACACCCTGATGGTGAAAAAAAAAAAACCCAATTATCTCTTTATAGTAACTTGGCCACTTATGGCTATTTCATCCAAGAATGTACTTCTTTTTTAGGTTATCTTGATATTTCCCTTCAAGAAAGTTAAATTATATGGTTATTTTTCTTCTGTTAGAAAAGTCAATACAACTTAGTATTGTAAGTTATCAGACTTTTAAACTTTTTCTGGAATTACAATTAAAATTGCATAGTTGCAGTCTTTTATTGTATTGCTGCCTATTTTATATAAGGGTGCTATAGATATTACCACAGAATTTACAGACTAAAAAAATTTGGGCCAGAGTAGATTCAAGCCTAGGTGATCATAGCTTAATTTTTGATTTTCAATGCAGTCAGGACTCTCTTAGTAACACCTTTCACGAAAGATATATATGCTGCTAATGTGAATTCATTCTTAACATTTCATGCATAAGCTTATACTGGCTTTAAAAAACTTTACTGTAGTGAGTAGCAACAAGTGTCACAGTGCATGTAAATGAAAACCTAAATGTAGTACCTATATTGTTGCTGTCATTATGTTGATGAGAATAGCAATAATTAAGATTTCCAAGTCTCCTCTCATTACTTTCAGACTACACAGTCCTGTGGATAACATCCAATCGTTGGCTTTACACTGAACATCTATAGCATTAATTGGTTTTTACATTTATGTCTTGATATAAAAGATATAATTATAGTGTTGTGGTTTCCTTGCAGAAGATAAAGAAATGACCCTTTAGGTTTATTTTTAGTTTACTTGATTTGTTGCTTTGAGTAAACATCATTCATCTGTAGTTGATGCTCAAAGCTGTGAAGAACACGCTTTGGTTGGAAATTGTACTTCCTGTGTCTTACTCTGTGGCTTCTATTAGTAGTAGCAATGTGCTGTATGTACCTAATATTTTCTAACCGTTTTTATTCTTAGACCTCCTACAAGTTGGTGTTGGTTCACAATAGTGCTATTATTCTGAACCATACATATATATATATATATATATATTTTTTTTTTTTTTTTTTTTTTGTGGTACGCGGGCCTCTCAACTGTTGTGGTCTCTCCCGTTGCGGAGCACAGACTCCGGACGTGCAGGCTCAGCGGCCATGGCTCACGGGTCCAGCCACTCCGCGGCATGTGGGATCTTCCCAGACCGGGGCACGAACCCGTGTCCCCTGCATCGGCAGGTGGACTCTCAACCACTGTGCCACCAGGGAAGCCCTGAACTATATATTTTTAGGAGGCTTAATTGTGACTGTTGATAGTTGTTAGAGATTTAAAAACTAAGCTTAAAATTAACTGTTAGATTTTAAGTGTATACAATTTTGCTATATTAAACAAAGCAGTGGTAAAAATTACAGGAGTTGATGTGTGCAGAATCATGGGAAATAATATGATGCATGTTTGAATACTAACATGCATCCTGTTTGGTGCCCAATATCAAGGTTACATTCACAATACTTGTGAAGTTTTACTGATGTAATGCTTACACTTCTGCAGCAGCAATACTTTTCAGGTTTTCACATTTTGGATTTTCTGCACCCCAGAATAATCCTCCATTTATGAATAGCAATCTCTGTCCTTTACCTGAATGGCACTTTAGTATTGATGAAAACTAGTTGCTACTGAGCATTCTCTGTGGTGATTTTCTTTGATAGACAATAACAGAAGAAATTGTATAATTCTTGTTCTCAAAGAGCTTAGAATCTTAATTGCATATGGTTCATATATTAAGCATTAGTGTACATAAGAATCACTTGATGCTCATTTGAAAAAAAAAGGATTTGAGGACCCCAAATCTCTCTAATTTAGTGGGTCTGGGATGGCAACCCAAGAATCTTTTTTATAAGCACATTGGCTGAATCTAATGCAGTTAGTACACACTTAGAAAAACAGACCACATTTGTAGAAACAGACCAATTAGGGGAGAAGAATCCAAAATACTTAAAATTTTTGCATCTGTGTAATGAGAGACAGTGACCAAAAAGTTTTAAGATGTTAAGAGGCACTATTCTCGTAAGTATTAAGAGAATTAAGTATATTCTCTTATTCTCTTTATAGCACTCTGCTATAAAGAATGTTTAGGTATTGAAGGATGTAGGCCACATAAAGAATGATCCTTATTAAAAGATGGCAAAATAAAATGTGTGATCTCTCACAGGTCACGAACTTTCTATAATTTTCTTTAATTGAGTGACTACTTAATTGCTCTTTTCTGGATTTTTTCTTGATTTCTAATTCCTAGCAAAGTGTTATATAGGTAGAATCAGAAAGTATTCAAAGTATTGTTAATGGTCTTGATGTTTTTTGATTTTAAAAGAACTTGAAATTATGTCAGGCTCTTAAAAATGAAACAAAAGGGGATACCATACTGCTGATTTGGATTAAATAGGAGTTATAATTATCAGTGATCAAAAGTTATCTGAGAAACTGTTATTAACTCCTTATATAATATAGGTATTAATTTTTCATATTATAGCTGAATGACCAATTTTGAAAAAGATTATGGATCTAATATAACTCAATTAAAAAAAATCTAATAATACCTTGCCCTCTAGTGTTGAACAACAAATAGCACCAGTTCATGGATTTTTATGTTTTTTGAGACTTTGAAATATTTCCCCTTCCTATCATAAAACAATGCTTCCTAGTAGTTTATTCATTTGGCAGTTCTTTTCCTTGCATTAAAGATAAGGAATCTGTAATGTATGGAAGTGTATTGTTATCTGTCCAGCCATTCAGAAGATACCAAAATTGGGATTAGAATTCATATCTCCACTTGAATGTTGCCTTTAATTCCTGACAAATATAACTGTCAGTAAGACATTCTAAAACTGTTCTTCTTTTGCTTTGTTAGAATATAAAAACAACACATGGTATTTGAAAAATAAGAAAAATGTAAAGGAGAAAGTTGCTTTTAATTTAAATAATTTATATATAAATGTACGTAAACACATACATCATATATCAAGTTTAACACTAAAATATTTTCGATCATTGATATATTGTGACAAATGCTTTTTAAGTTTCTGGATTTTTTTCATACCTTCTTATTATTTTGCACATCAGTTTGATCAGATCTCATGGAAATTCTAAGTTAAAGGAGTAGAGGAGGGTTACATTAATGGACTGACTTTTGTACAATGTGCTGTAGGCTTATAAGGCTTTTGATTTGATTAGAACTGCTTATGACAAATGTTGTTATAACCAGAATCAACCACAAAATGTTTTCAAAGCCAAATGGTTATTTCTTTGACTAGAAAATCATTCATTAAGAAAAAAAATACTAAGTAACAAATCTATTTAGTCCTGTGATAGGCTTTAACCCATTGTTTAAATAGCCTTCTGTAAGACTTAACATTCTCATGATATTTTGTTAACATAATTATACATTTGAATGTTAACTTCTTAAATTACCAGATTCCTGAAGTTTTTGATCTTAGCTGCTGAGGGGCTTCTATAGTTATCACAGATGATTTTATGAGCAACAGAACTATTGGTTTTACCTAGGGTATGCATATATTTTTAATTTTAAAGTTTTTACTGTATCACGTGAAATGTTTTGTTAATTGTTACCGGTATAAGCAGATATAACAATAATACTTATTTTCACCAAGTCAGAATTCTTTTTTTTTGTCTATTTTTTGTTTATTAACAAGATAAAGTTTGAGGGTTTTAAAAAAATTAATTTTTATTATTGAAATATAGTTGATTTACAGTGTTGTGTTAATTTCTGCTGTATAGCAAAGTGATTCAGTTACACATATGTATACATTCTTTTTCATATTCTTTTCTATTATGGTTTATCACAGGATATTGAATATAGTTCCCTGTTCTATACAGTAGGACCTTGTTGTTTATCAAGTCAGAATTCTTAAACTCTCTTCCCAGTGTTCATTTTATGCCCCTGTTTCTTACCTGCTTGTTAATTCATTTTGATCCCCCCTTAACTAAATTGTAGCTCATAGATGAACCTTCTAATTCTCAATTTCTTTATCTATAAAAGGAAGATAGTGATTCCGACCCTGTAGAGGCTGCTGTGAGGATTAGGGCGTAGTAGAAGCTTAATAAGTAATAGCCAATTATATCTTTGGATAGATAAAGTTAATTTACTGTTGTTATTATCTTACTATTCTCCAGCATCTAACAGTGCTATGATAACAGGTAAATCTTTTGTATTTAGTAGTTAGATTAGATCCCTTTTACTTTTGTTTCTTTGAATTCTAACAGTTTAGGGTCAGGCTTTGTTTCCATTAGCATTATTTTGTCTAGTACGATTAATGTTACAGAGAGAGTCTTAGCTTTGTCATTGTCCTCAAATTAGGTTTTAGAATTTATATGTAATATACTAATAGAGATACAACTTTTGTAGTATCTGCTCTCTTGCACTCAGTGAATGATGTATTCAAATGCCATTTTTGGCAAGTATAAGACATTTCATATCTTATAATTACTAAATCCTTATACTCTGACTTTTTTTCTCTTGGCGTGCTGTAGTATACACCTTGAACCAAAAATAAGCTTAATATACTATACACACACCAGTTAATTATTTCACTCTTATCAAAATGCTAGAGTCAGTGTTCAATGCCTTCAAATTATGTGTTCTTTAAGATGATATTTCTAACATGGAAGTTATAGAGGAAACTTTTTGTTTTTGGCTGCACCGCGTGGCGTGTGAGATCTTAGTTCCCTGACCTGGGATTGAACCTAGGCTCTTGGCAGTTAGAGTGCAGAGTCCTAACCACTGGACTGCCAGGGAATTCCCTAGAGGAACCTTTTTTTTTTCTTGCGTTATGCGAGCCTCTCACTGTTGTGGCCTCTCCCATTGCGGAGCACAGGCTCGGGATGTGCAGGCTCAGCGGCCATGGCTCACGGGCCTAGCCGCTCCGTGGCATGTGGGATCTTTCCGAACCGGGGCACGAACCCATGTCCCCTGCATCGGCAGGCGGACTCTCAAGCACTGCGCCACCAGGGAAGCCCGAGGAAACTTTTTTTAAATAAATTTTATTTATTCATTTTTGGCTGCTTTGGGTCTTCCTTGCAGTGTGCAGGCTTCTCATTGTGCTGGCTTCTCTTGTTGCGGAGCACGGGCTCTAGGCGCGCGGGTTTCAGTAGTTGTGGCTTGTGGGCTCTAGAGCACAGGCTCAGTAGTTGTGGCGTGTGGGCTTAGTTGCTACGCGGCATGCGGGATCTTCCCAGCCCAGGGCTCAATTCAGTGTCCCCTGCATTGGCAGGCGGATTCTTAACCACTGCGCCACCAGGGAAGCCCTAGATGGAACTTCTTAATGATTTTGATAATCGGGGATGTCATGATTAAATAGGTCCACTATGTTGTCAAGTTTTCTGTTTGTCTTTCAGAAAATCTTGAGAAGTTATATGGCTCAACAAACTTGTATAAAGCACTCAAATACATACCTTTGTATAGTTTTATGAATTAAAAAAATTCTTAAAAATATTTTTTAAGAGAAACAGAGAAAATTCTGTTTCTCTTTGTTCACTTGAAGTTGGAAGGGGTTCGGTTCCTGTGAAAAAATGTAAAAGGATTATTTGTACCACAATTGACTTTGGTCCTTACCTTATTTCTAACCATGGTAAAATTGTGTTGAAGTGAGATTAATTTTTTCCTTCAAAAATCTGATATATTTTCAAGGTGAATATTTTAAAAAAACAAGAACTCAGAATGTTAAATTATTGAAATTTCTCATCAGAGCATTTTGATTTGGGGCTGCCATTGATTAATAATAAAACCTTGTGGAAAAGACTTTGTTGCGTAAATTTGATATTAGTGATTTGTCTTATAGTCTCATTTTCCTTCCTCAATCTCCACCACTTAAATGTGGTGTATATAGTGTATATGTGCGTGTCCAGTGTCACTGTCTTTGGTATTGTAGGCATTAAGGAAAATTGGAACTTTTTAAGTTTTATTCTTTAGCATACTTATGGACATTAATAATAACATGAAAATTATTTTAAGTTTGGTATGATAATTTCATGATTTTGAATTTTTCAAAGAGCAGTGGTTTATCAGACTCGATGACACCATATAAATCATGATTGTGATACAAATGTTTAAAGCAGTGTTAATCAAGTGTAGATTAGTGATGTAATTGTTGGAGGATGTTGTGTTTTATCCTGTCATTGTGTCTGCAGGTGGTCATTAATTTCTGCATCATTGACAGTGTATAACACAGATGATTTTGTGGAATTATTATGGTTCTTTAAATATGTGCACCAGGAGCTTTTAATATTCTCTGCGTTGTCTCCTGCATGTAAGAGAATCTAAACTAGGTGTCTTTAGTCTAAGAGAAGGAACTGACTGAGGTGGATAAATATTGAAGAAGTTAAGTTTCCACCATGAAAAAAGTTTATGTTCAAAGGCAAAGTTTTTGCTAATAAAGCAGCCCTTTAAAAAAAATTCAGGATTGTAATTATATAGGTAACAAGGTAAAGATTTTAAGATATTAAATCAAGATAATGTAGAATTTTCCTTTTTTAACATTAATCTATTCTGTTAAATTGGAAAAACATTAAAAAATTGAAAAACATGTAGAATTATAAAAATTAGGATTAAATCTTAAAATAATAATCACTTTTATGTATGCTTTCCTATGTATGTGCTTTTTCCATAATATATATAAACATTTGTTGATGTGTATATGCATTTTAAGTATCAGAGGTAAGGATTCTGTCTTCTTGTATTTTATTTTTTCAAAATGCTGGGCATCCGGTATCTTCTGAGAAAATTTTCTTTGTGAATATTAGATGGTAAAATCAGAGTACCTTTCTAGAAAATTAAACCTTAGGGTGGGAGGGAGGGAGACGCAAGAGGGAAGAGATATGGGAACATATGTATATGTATAACTGATTCACTTAGTTATAAAGCAGAAACTAACACACCATTGTAAAGCAATTATATCCCAATAAAGATGTTAAAAAAAACCCTATAAAATTATCAAAATAATATATATAGCTAGATATATGAAGAGCATTGGTGGTAAATTGTTAAATTCCTTGCCCCCATTTTCTTGAAATATTTACACATAGTTTCCAAGTAGTATTTCTTTTAAATGTAGTAGAAATAACTTGAGAAAGCTTCTGTGCAATTATGACTTATTTTTTAGAATTAAAAAAATTCTCTTTCTGGTGTTTAAACTTTTATTTCTAAACTTCTTGCGTCCTCCTCTAGCAAAAGAAACAAGTTGAATCTTATGACTTTAGAATTTGGCAGCCAGTACTTCTGTTGTATTAGGGTATCATGCAAATAAGTAGAAGCAGTAGAATGAACCAACAGCATTACGAGCAGTCAGGCAGTTTCTGGACATTAGAGATACTCCGTTGATAACTGTTGTGAAAAAACCCATAATGCTTCTTTTTTTGCGAGAAAACCCATAATACATCTTTTTTTTTTCTTCTGTACGCGGGCCTCTTACCGCTGTGGCCTCTCCCGTTGGCGGAGCACAGGCTCCGGACGCGCAGGCTCAGCGGCCATGGCTCACGGGCCCAGCCGCTCCGCGGCATGTGGGATCTTCCCGGACCAGGGCATGAACCCGCGACCCCCTGCATCGGCAGGCGGACTCCCAACCACTGCGCACCAGGGAAGCCCCTACTTTTTTTTAAACCAGGTTTTTGCTCGTTCTTCTAAAATTAAAGGTAATTTAATATCTGTGCTTTGACTAGGTTGCTCATGGTTGAAGAAGGTCGTTCTGTAGTGATAGAGATTGAAAAAGTGAATGGAGACGCTTAAGCAGTTTGGGGCAGCCATTAACCTGTGTTTGTTTGGTATCTACAGAATGAAAAATGTGTGTAAATTTTAAAAGGTTTTGAAGCGTAACTAACAGTGGTTCTTAAGCCCCAGGTAAATAGCAATAAGTGTGCATAAATTCTCTGATGTCTTCTGCCTGTTGCAGTGTTTGATGATGGTGATGAGAGAACGTTGAGACGTACCTCACTATGCTTAAAAGGAGAGAGACATTTTGCTGAGAGTGAGGTAGGGTAACATGGATGGACTTTTTAAATTGAACAACAGCTACTAATGTAGAAGCAAAAAGTGATTTAATTTGTCTGTTTCTTATCCAGACTCTTGACCAGCTTCCATTAACAAATCCAGAGCATTTTGGAACTCCAGTAATTGCAAAGAAGACGAACAGAGGAAGGAGGTCCTCTCTGCCTGTGTGAGTGTTTTCATGTACAGTAACATTACAATTATCACAACATTAAATAAGTGGTTTTTCTACGGTGGTGAAATTTGTTTGGGTGGCCTTTCCACAGCATCTTGTATCCTTGTTTTAGACGTTTTACCCTGAGTAGACTTTGTTCTTAATTCTTGGACAAAGTAATAGGAATAATGATCTCAACCCCTTTTTAAAAAAGGCTATTTTTGTTTTGAGTTACTTTGCCAAATTCCTTAATTGATAGGATTATTTTGCTATGTTATGTGCGTATATGTGTTTTTTTAGCCTTTTTATTTCAAAAACATTTCAAGTTTAAAAATCGTAAGAATAATACAATAAACTTTCATATACTCATCGTCCAGATTCACTAAATTATTAAAACTTTTTGACACATTTGCTTTATCATTTCCTGTCTTTATATACATATATTATAATTATTTTTTATTTAATAATAATTTTAACTGGCTGAACCATTTAAGAGGAAGTTGCAGGATCATGACTTCTTACCCCTAAATAGTTTATGTAGGAACAGGGGCACTCTCTTATATAATCAAAGTATGGTTATCAAATTCAGAATAGATAACATTGATAGAATGCTATTATCTGATAATATATAATACATATTTCAGATTTTGCCAGTTGTCCCAATAATAGCCTTTATACCATCGCCTGATTCCAGGATTCAATCCAACATCATGCATTGCATTTAGTTTATGTGGTTCTTAAGTCTCCTTTAATCTAGAAAAGTTCCTCAGCCTTTTTTTTTGTCTTTTCATGACAGTGACATTTTTGAAGACTACAGGCCAATTGTTTTGTAGATTTTTCCTCATTGTGGCCTTGTCTGATTGTTTAGTTATACAGATAGGTTATCTAAATAAACCTCCTAATGTGTTTGGTGAGATCTTTTCCTAACCTGTTGGAGAATTAGAGTTATATTATCTGGAACCTGGCGTGCATAAAAAGTGGAAGGGCAATCTCTTAAACTGTATTTGGCACAGTGAATACTTCCTGGTGATATAGCTTTTCTGTCCCAGCCAGTGGTTGGCATGAGAGTCTAAGTCCAGGTCCTCACTGATCTAGTGAAGTGGACTCAGAGTTACCATGGACAGCGCAGGACTACCTCTTTGGGGCTAGGGAAGTATCCATTTCTTCAATTCCGACTTGAATGAAGAGGCTACTACCCTGGGGTAATGACTGTATCAAAAATGGTTGATGTTAAGATCATGATAAAGTTATTCTAACTTTTAGTAACGAAGATGAAAAAGAAGAAGAAAGTAGTGAAGAGGAAGATGAAGATAAGCGACGTCTCAATGATGAATTATTAGGAAAAGTTGTAAGTGTGCTATCTACATCTGAGAAGAGTGAATGGTATCCTGCTTTGGTAAGTATGGTTTCTTTGCAGAGTTAATTAACCATTTAAAGTATTTGTTTAACATGGATTTTAAGAAAGCATTTAAAATATTTTGAGAGTGTTACACAAATTTAGTTTGGACTTTATTGCAAAATTGAGCAGTCCTACTCAGGTCGCACATACTTCACTGCCTTCTTTTGTTATTTCCTTTCTTTAATTCTCTGTAACCAAGTATTTATTGAGATCTTTCAGTTTTTCCTTCAAAATGTGTCCAGTGGTCTGTGTTTACTCTGTTCCCATCACCTTTTTCACCTGATGTATAGTACCTACCACCAGCTTCTCTTAACTTGATGCCTGAATGCTTTCTTTACTAAATTCAGACTTTTTTTCTAGAAGTAACTTTTATAGAGAAATTTTAAAACATTGATTTAATCATGATAGTCCCATTCTCAAAAAAAAAACCAGCACTGACTCTGCCTAGTGAATCAATTCTGCATTTTTAGATGGGTATCTGTGGTCATCCTTAGCTCTTAGTTTGTTTCTCATTTTCAGTGTAAGCTGTCTACTTAGGCTCTTTCTTAACTGCTCCCTGTGTAAGACACTTCATTCCTCCAGTCCTTTACCCCTTAAATCAATTAGTATTTACTAAGGATTTGCAGTGACTTCAGCTTTGCTCTAAGCTCCTTAAGAAAAGAAAGAGGTATGAGACATAACACATTGCCCTCAAGGAGTTTACTATACACATCTCAAAGACTGTGTAGTAGTTAAATATTATACAGTAATTTAAAAAACTTTTGGTGCAGACACTGGAATAGGACAAAGAGTTTTAGGGAAAGGAAGGGTATACCTAAGCTTTAGAAATGGCAAATCTTGGGTATGTTGGTAGAGAAAACTAACCTTTGCTTACTTGGGAAAGGAATGAGAAGGTATGGGCAAGAGAATTACTTCACAAGAGGAATCAATATCTCCCCTTTCTCTTCTTCCTACTCCTCTCTTAAATATGTCTTAAGGCTCAGCTCAGGTCCTACCTTTCCTGTAGATTCTCCCCTAACCATTTTAACATAAGTATGCCCCTTCTTCTCTGAGTTTTGATATCACTTATATCTCTAATAATAATTTTGGCACAAAATACCTCCCAAATTAGGTTAGCCTCCTTTAAAGAACTGAGGCCTTTTTTTTTTTTTTTTAGGTTTCTATGTGCATGTAAATACATTACTCAATTCCTATGTAGTAGATTTACTTCACATAGGAAAAGTCTGAAAATCCTTTGAACCTTTCAGTTGTATAGGCCAACAAGTCAATGGGTTTGGATTCACAATACTCAGGTCATAATTTGTCAAGAGATTAAAAAAAAATGCCTTTATTTACTCAACAGGTTTATCATTTCCCAGGTAATAAAATAAAAGATGAGTAAGAGTCAATGTAAGAATCAATCTTACATTTGATGATTTTAGTGTACTGCAGAGAATAATCCAAGTAACTGTAATATAAAATAGTATACATTCAATATTAGGACTTCTTGTCCTGAGACCTTGCATTTATTTGAAGGAAATCCAAAAAGAAAAAAAATAAAAAGCCTTCATGAAGCTTTTGAGCTGAGCCTTGAAGGATTTAAAGTTAGTTAGCAGAGCTTCACTAGAGAACTTTCTTAGAAGAAACAGAATAAGTAATAGGAAAGAAGGGGGTTTGTTCATGAAACTATTTGCTCTGGGAATTCATTTTGGCTAAATATTAGATGTGAATAGGGGCATAATAGGAAAGAAGACTGGGAAATAATTTGGATCGAGGGCAGAACGGTCTTTAAAATTTCATCTAAAGAATCTGGACATAGTTCTGCGTAGAATTTTGCAGAAGAGTGACATTATTTGAGCTGCATATTTAGGAATGTTAATGACGCAGTGGTATGGTGGATGGATTGTTGTTGAAAGGAGTGGAGGTGATAGGAATCAATTTGGAGGCCATTAGAGTGGTTCACAGGTGAGGTAATTAAGCCTTGGGTTCTGTCTACTCATCCTTTAAGACTTACCTTTAGCCTTTGCTGCCACACATTTTACCTTCCCAGGTCTGGTTAAATCTTCCTCCTAGGTGTTTTTATTGATATTTTATCTTATGCCTAGTTGGTATCACTGTAGTTAGCCTTCGTTATGTTTTTTTTGTATATCTTTTTGTATTTACCCTTCCATTTCAGTGTTAGCTCCTTGAGGGCAGACACAACTATATTATTAGTCTAGTAATTACCAGCACCTAACAAACAAAAAAACATTTAATACCATCTGATGTTAAAACAGCCGATACAACTGCCAAGAATTTTTGATTGTCTGGACATAACACTGTTTAATATGATAGTCATGAGCCATGTGTGGCTATTTAAGTTTAAATTGTAACTTAATTAATATTAAATAGAATTAAAAATTCAGTCTCTCAGTTGAACTGGCCACATTTCAGGTGCTCAGCCCCATGTGATTCATTGCTGCTATATTGGTCAGTGCCGACAGAGAACATTTCCATCATTGCATAAAGTTCTGTGGTTGGTGCTCGATTACCACAGAGGGGCTAATGTTGAGCAGGTACAGTTCAGCAATTTATTAGTAGTCTTTAATGTTTTTTAAATATTAAATTCTATAAAGAATATATACAGAGATTGGTTAGTTACAAATGTTAAGACATTTGTTATTTTTAAAAGTTAAGAAATTTAGAAGTTCTTCACTCAGATTTTCTCTGACTTGTTTAAATACTAAAAATTGTACATGCCTTGGTAAGAATGGGAACTTAGGTGCTTATTTAATCAAATAGCCGGATTTCAAAATTGATCCTGATTTAAGTGCATTTAAAAAAATATATAATATGGCATGTCTTCATCATAGATCATACATTTTGTTTTTTGGACAGTAAATGAGTTATTATTATTTGGCTTAGAATAAATCCTAATATTTTTAAAGTGGTCACATTATGGTTTATATTTCATTAATTATTCATTTTATTATCTAATGACTGTGTATATTAAATATCTAGAAAGCCAATATGCTAAAGAAAAATTATAAGGCAATCTTTTGTAAGTAAATTTATTATGGTATGGAAGCTGTTGACAATGAACCTATTTCTTGTCAAATATAATCATTTCAAGAAGTTAGGGGATCCAGAATTGTTATTTTAAAAAATATATTCTTTCTTTGAGTAGGGAAAGTAGTAATCAATCTGCTTTTATTTTATATTTCAGGTAGTATCTCCCAGTTGTAATGATGATATCACAGTGAAAAAAGACCAATGTTTAATTCGGTCATTTATCGATTCTAAATTGTGAGTAATGAATCACTTAATAGTGTTACATTGGGAGAAAAAAATGGAAATCAAGACTTTATTTTTTAAAACTTAATCATTTCATGAACTGAGAAGTTGTTACCTATATGTTTTGACATTTTTGTAATGTAGGTTATTTTAAAAAATTTTTTTTAAATAAATTTATTTTATTTTTGGCTGCCTTGGGTCTTCAGTTGCTGTGCGCGGGCTTTCTCCAGTTGCGGCGAGTGGGGGCTACTCATCATTGTGGTGCGCGGGCTTCTCATTGCGGTGGCTTCTCTTGTTGTGGAGCACAGTCTCTAGGCACACAGGCTTCAGTAGTTGCAGCATGTGGGCTCAGTAGCTGTGGCTCGCGGGCTCTAGAGTGCAGGCTCAGTTGCTGTGGCGCATGGGCTTAGTTGCTCCGTGGCATGTGGGATCTTCCCCGACCAGGGCTCAAACCCGTGTCCCCTGCATTGGCAGGCAGATTCTTAACCACTGCACCACCAGGGAAATCCCTAAAATTTTTATATAAAAACTGAACAACAGTATTTGAGAATAATATTTAAAAAGTTTTAAAATAAAGCATAGTATTGATTTTCTCTTTAATTGTAAGAATTCTTTTTTAAATTTATTTTATTTATTTATTTATTTTTGGCTGCGCTGGGTCTTCATTGCTGCGTGCGGGCTTTCTCTAGTTGTGGCGAGCAGGGGCTACTCTTCTTTGTGGTGCTCGGGCTTCTCATTGCGGTTGCTTCTTTTGTTGTGGAGCAAGAGCTCTAGGCGTGCAGACTTCCAGCAGTTGTGGTTTATGGGCTGTAGAGACCAGGCTCAGTAGTTGTGGCGCATGGGCTTAATTGCTCCACGGCATGTGGGATCTTCCCGGACCAGGGCTGGAACCTGTGTCCCCTGCATTGGCAGGCGGATTCTTAACCACTGAGCCATCAGGGAAGCCCTAATATTATGTAAGAATTCTTTATTTTTATTATGTGTACTATTTCATATTATAAAACATGAAATTTACTTTTAATAGAATTTATATTACTAGAATAATTATTTTGACTTTTTTTCTGATTAAATGTCAGATTTTGAACTCCAATAAAAATTAATTTTAAAAAAGGTCAGAGTTTTAGAAACCTTCCTTCACTTCAACTTTGCTTTGTTTCCAAAAAATGTAAAATTATGTATTTATTGAGTTGTGATTCTCTGTGAAAAATTTGATACCATAATATATCTTACAATGATAAAAATATTTTAATGTTACCATCTATTAAATTATTCATACTGAACTGAATAGTAAATTTGAGAAATATGAAAGATCAAAATAGACACTATAAGGAAAATACCATGCTGATATAAATAAACGACCCCATATTGTAGGTAAGAGGGTTGCATAAATTGAAATATTACAAATGTGAGGCTCTCAAATTAGTGTGCTTTGAGTATGTGAATCTTTAGAATTAAGATATTAGCTTTGCCTATATTACCTCTTGCCCTTTATTAAGGATTAGGATATACATGGTCTTTTTAAAACAATTTATAAGTAAAATAATTTTGATTTTGAGATTTATATTTTCTGTGTGTTAACATGACTCTTTAAGTGATAATTCTTATTTAGTAATGGTTTCCCTCCTATTTATTTTTCTCTGTAATTAGTTATTCTATAGCAAGAAAGGATATCAAGGAAGTAGACATTCTCAATCTACCTGAATCTGAGCTCTCTGCTAAACCAGGTAAAATAAGGATGAATCAATCCATTATTTCATGATGTGACTCTAAATGGCAAATTTAGTGGCAAAAGCAAGACTGAATATTTTCTGGTGCCATTTTAACTGTTTAGAGTTGATATCCACTCTTCTTTAATGCCTTTTTTTAATATCTAGATAAAGTATTTGACCTTAATTCTTTGTATGTTTTATCACTAACATTTCTGACAGTATTCCCTAGAGGAAAATAAACATTAATATATTATAACTTATATGTTCAAATTTACTGTATCATTTTAGAAATGACAGCTGAATTTGAATCCAGATCTTCTGACTCTGAATGTCATGGCTTTGTATTATTCTGTGGTGCTAATTCCATAACAAGTGCTGAAGTACATTTTTACTTTTAGGGCTGCAGAAAGCAAGCATCTTCTTAAAAACTAGAGTTGTTCCTGATAATTGGAAAATGGATATAAGTGAAATCCTTGAGTCATCCAGTAGTGATGATGAAGTTGGCCCAGCTGAAGAAAATGATGAAGAGAAGGAAAAGGAGGCCAAAAAGGAAGAAGAAGAGATGGTAGGTGAAATTTCATGTTTGTAACATATGAAAACATTTCAATACTCTAAAAACAATACCTTCATATATTTTCCCTGTGTTTAGATTCTTTATATTATTTGTTGCTGTCTTTTTCTAGCTCAGCTTTACTTGGGGAAGGGGGAGCTTTCTGGCTTTTAGCTTAGTGGGCAAATCAGAACTAATTTTTAGTGGGTAAGAGATTACAAAGAAGAACTTTTCAGGTTAAATGAGCAGCAAGTGCAGACTTTTTTTTTTAATAACATCTTTTCCAAATAACCAAGGAGGAAGGAAATGTAACTTTTAGGTATATTACATGTGTTAACTCATTTAAATTATTGCCAGATGGAGTAACTGTTGTTATTCTACTTTAAAGAGAAAAGTGAGGGTCAGAAAGATTAAATAACTTTCCAAAGATGACACAGCTCAAATGTGGAGAGCAGGGATTTGAACACAGGTCTGGTCTGTCTTAACTTTGAAATTTCACCTCTTTCAGACATTTCACAGTATCTCAAGGATAATGAGGATTAAAAAAATCCTATCTAAATGGAAGAATATTTCATTTGGCAGTTGGATAAATCATAGAAAAGATTTAGATTGTATTTTATAGGTGCTAATGGTTTTCTTTGTAATATCACTGTGTTGTTAAGAATGTATGTGTAATTGTAGGAAATCATTCATGAAGTACCACATAATTGCTTTCATGAATATTGCTGTCTATTTTTTCAGCACTGTTTTGTCAAGTGGGATAAACTGTCCAGTATAGTTTTGGTTGTTATGAGGTAAAGGGGCTTCGGGGCAGACAAAGAGAATGAGTTTACTGAAAAAGACCTATTTGAGCATGAAAAATATTTGCTTGGAAAATGTGGAATGTTTGTTTCTGTTTTACATACACAAATAAGAATTTTTGAAACAAAATGAGTGTACTTGTATGTGATATAGGGCATAGGGTGTTTCTTCCCTTTTACTTCCCCTGCAGTATTTGGCTTTTTGCACTCTGAAATCAGAATGGCGGTTCATACTTACAGGCTGCCTACAGAGTTGCCATAGTAACGGGCTGTTGGTTTTAAGTGAGCATGCTCGGAAAGACAGGAAGGTTTTGCAGAGGCTTGGCGGGTTGCCAATGGAGGTTTGCCAGATGCTTTGAAATGGGCTGTCTTTCTTTTCCTTTCATGTAATGTCTGATTTTTATGTGGAAGAGAATGTAAGTAGTGCTGTATAACCCTGCGGATGCTATGCCCTAAGAGGAAAAGCAAATATTGCAAGTCAGACTGAAAAATGTTCAGATACTGTACTGATTAAGTAGAAGGGGAATCTAACCATTTTACATGTGAAAGAAAATGCAGCATATAGGTAAGATTTTTTTTATATATTACCATTTTGATTGCCAAAAATGAGGTTAAATAAGAATTTTAGGTATTGATGATTTGGCTGATATGGTAGGACTCGTAACCAAGCGTAATTGTTTCATGTAAAAGAGACAGTAGGAGTCTATTTTTAGAATATCAGAGGATGAAGGCTATTTTTCTGAAACATAAGATAGAGTTTGAAATGAAAATGATAATGACAGTTTGGAAAAATTTGGGATTTAAAGTCTAAATATTAAATGTGATTTTTGTATTTTATCTGTATTTATTTATAGATTATATGTTTTCAGGGTAAATAGGCCACATTTTCAGGGTGTGAACTGTTGGAGTCTGGTTTTGCTTTTTTTTTTTTTTTTTTAAATTAACATTGAAACATTGAAGTTAGGATCTTATATTGCCAAATACTGAAATACATAGTCTCTTTATTTTTGCTAATACTTTTGATTTGTATCCCTTTCAAAATGCATTTTCCCTGATCCCCACCCCCCCAAAAAACCTGAAATTTTAAACAAAGAGGGTTAAAAAGGCTGAGTAGTAAGGGTAGAGAGTATGGCTGTAAAATAGTAAGTAGTAAATAGTGGTCTTATTATAGCTATTAATTTTGTAAAAGTCATAATGTTTTATTTAAGCTGTGAGTAAATGTTAGTAAAAAAGAATGAAGAGCAGAGGCAAGCTCTGTTACCTATTGTTTGCAGGTAGTAAGTAAAGAAATTTAAAAAGGTAAGGACCTTTGTAAGGATAGTATCTTCTTAAAATGTATTACTTAAATTATGAACTGTTAAAATTAAGTGAACCAAGATGCTTTTCATCTAAAGAAAGAAAAGCACAATCGCAAAATGTAGTCATTGATTATATGATTATTTAAAACTATTTTTCAGATATTCATTTTCATGCATATACTTCATTGAATTACCTAATAGAAACTAATTTCCTCTTTTTCTCTGGCTGTACAAGTAGATTTTCTTTAGTGAGGTTGGGTTGCTTTAGAAAAAAAAAAATCAGCTGCATTTCTTGCTCTTGGATTTAAGATTTAGATGCTGAATCATTCTAACCTGTCTTGGACAGTAATTTTTTAAAATTTGATATATTGTAAAACTGAAAAGCAGTTTAATCTATAGCAAAGGAAAAAAATGGATATGGTATAAAATGAATTAAAATCTGATAAGCCAGGGCCTACCTGGCTTAGTCATTACAGGCCTTTACTATATAAGTGAGGCTAAGCTATTATATTTACATTACAGATCATATTCTTCCCAAAATGTAATTATGCTATGCTTTCCATGAGGATTTAATGTTGCTTGACAATGATCAAAAAGATCTTTTATAATATTCTGTAAACCACTGTAACAATACTTTAGCCAGCCATTTGGTGTTTGTAAATTTTATGCAGTAGAATCATACAAGTGTTAGATACTTCTGCAGTACTAATGGGCAGTGCACATTGTTTTTATATTTGATACTTTGAGTACCCTAACATAGCCTTAATCAGGAGATTTGAGACTTACTGTGGAGGAGCATCTTTTATACTTAATATTATTTTGAATTCCTAAGCATTGGTAGTTTAGGATTTGAGTACAAGAAATATATTTCATACTATTACTGGGTAGGAAGAGACTTGAGAGTCTGACAGGAAGTAGGTCCTACCTATATTGATGACTCTACATTTTAAGTCATTGATAATTATATTGAAAAAGGATCTGGAGAATATTTTTGTGGGTATTACTTAAATGTATTTTGTTAGGACATTTTTATATTAGAAAAGATATTACTGAATTTCCTTTTGAGCTTTGAAATTGATTGAAAAGTTCATGTAAACATAAACAATGATGTCAGGTATTCATTTACCCCTGACTTATATTCACTTTGGATGAATGTAGGAGAGTTGTCTAAGGGTAAAATAAATAGGTGAATGTTTAGAAAACTGAATATCAGGTGGGAATTTGACTAGTCTTAGTTCTTTTATCCTTTTGGTTTGCTATAGGTAGGCTTATATGTTGGGCCCTTTCAAAAATCTCCTTTAATTTCATATTTAGTAATGAAAATTAGAATTTCGTGAATTTTTATAAGAAATGCTCTTTTTTTTTTTTGGCCTCTCCTGTTGTGGAGCACAGGCTCCGGATGCGCAGGCTCAGCGGCCATGGCTCATGGGCCCAGCCGCTCCGCGGCATGTGGGATCTTCCCGGACCGGGGCACGCACCCGTGTCCCCTGCATCGGCAGGCGGACTCTCAACCACTGCACCACCAGGGAAGCCCAAGAAATGCTCTTTTTTGTTTAGAAGTATTGACACCCATTTCTCCAGTCGTTGAACTTCTAGGGATCACTGTTAAATTTAATTCCTAGGATTACATTCCCCTATTATAAAAATCATAAGTGCTTGAACTTTTTAATTCATCGAAATGTGAGGTTTTTTTTTTTAATGTTTAAATCAAGTGTTTTTTGTGTATTTATGCCTTTTTGTAGATCAACCATAAAGGCATTTGTTAGTAATCTTTCAAGATCACTTTGGGTATAAACCTATAGTAAATGCTTGATAACTCAGGAAAATCCTGTTAAGTCAATAAAATTTACAGAAAAATTTAAAGGTAATATTAGTATTTTAGGTATATCTAATAACTCCAGCTGCCAATCAGGTGTTTCTAAGCAGACCCTATAAAGCCAACCTTCAATGAATAACTGAGACTTTAGCTTGCATTCAAATGTAATAACTTATCTGCTAAGGTCTTAAAGTGTAGCCTATTAAATAAGCAAGCAAAAATGTCCTAATGTCTTTAGCAAAACCTTTCTTCACAGTGTTAGCATAAGACTCTAACCAAATTAGGATCACCTCATCAGATTAATGAGGATTGCACATTTGTACACACAAATACACCTACATTTTAATGTACTTATAGAAAAAGGTATTTTATAGTTGTGTTAGTAAGACTGATTTTAAAACCTTAGATTTGATAGCATGTGAACCACAGCTTGATGACTGAAAGTAAGATATATGTACCTTTTAAAATGGGGGGGGGGAATTACTAATTTGTTATAGGCAGGTTGTAAACTGTTTTGTGAAATTATAAAACAGTGTCTTACCACATAATGAATATATTAGGCATGACATGTGGTTTCTGAAATTTTCTGTTTAAGTGTACACAACAGAGAAGAATGGTACCACTCTAAATTTTATGATGAACAAATTTCACTGGGCCTTCAATACTATTGGTCGGTTCTCAGTTTCTATAATCTAATCATTATCTCCTCCATTAAGCCAGCAACGCTACCCCCACTCCACTCACTTTGGAAAGAAACTAGGAGCTTCAAATTGGGAGCCAGCTCTAAACCCCACCTGCCTGCTCTCCTTCCCTTAATGTACAATTGATAGTATGTTGTCCTCTTCTGTAAGAAGAGTCCATCTTTTTAGGCTCTGGATCTCATTCCCTTCTTTCTTGTCTTAGACTGTGAAGTATCTCTTTTCTTTCCAGCATCTTTAATCTATTCCTTTGTGTTGTAACCTTCTTCCCAGCTTTTAAAAACATGCTTACATCTCTTCCAACCTTCTAGCAACCTGTCCAGATTCCTTCCACCAACCCCTCCACCTTATGGCCAGATTGCTCAGAGGTATATACACCGTTCTATTTCCTGACGCTACCACC